GCCGTCCTGCTGGCGGCGAAGTGCCTGGGCAAGATCGCCAACGCCACTGCGGGCACGAGGCTGAACAGGATGAAGGCGGGGAAGCACCCGATCAAGGGCCACTTCATCGGCGAGCCCGTCCAGCTGGAGGCGCGCCTAACGGAGGCCCCAGCGGACGAGGTGCCGACAACGGCATGAAGTTCGTGGGCGGCTCGCCGCCCAGCCTGGGCACTGCTGCGGCCGTTCGGCCTGCTGGGCGGCAGCGGGAGGGCGCTGGGCGGCGAGCGGCCCCAGGCGCTGCGCGGAGGCGGCCTGCGCCGTGCCGCGCCTGCGCCGAGGTGGGCCGGCGGCTGAGGCCGTAGGCCCGCGCCCGCCCGCGCGGCGGCGGCGGTCGGCGCCGTGCCGCGAGGGCGTGCCGCGCCCGAGGCGGCGAGGCGGGGGGCCGCCGCGCCGCTCGGGCGCTCGGGCGGCGCGCCGAGACAGACGGCCCGCCGCGCAAGTGGGTGCGGTTCCTCCTCCTCCTCCCTCCTGATCCGCGAGCTTCCGCGGCCGGGCCGCGGCGCGCGCAAGCGCGGCCCCCTTCGCGCCCCCGCGGGCGGCAGGGGAACCAGCCGGAGAATTGCTGTCCAGGGCCAAACCTGAGCGGTGCACGTCGTTGTTTTCGGTGGCAGCTCATGGGAGCCTCCCATACCATCTCGCCGGCTCCTGCGAATCAGCGCGAAATCGACGCCGATCAACACTAAATCGACGCCAAATTGGCGCTGATCTACGCTACATCGGCGCTATCTCATCGACTCCCAGACGCTAATCGACGCTAGTCGACGCTGAAGACGGGATTCTGATGGTATACCAAGCTCCCATGATTTGCTACCGAAATTGCCGTTTGTTGTCCTTCTCCATCGTCTTGTCATCGTTCCGCCTCTGCTGCGCAGCGAGATCACAACGAAAACGGCACACGAGCTCGCCAAAGCACCGTTTAGCTCGATCCTTGTCGATATCGGGCCGATGTCGAATCGGATCGACGATGCGAAAACGGCACCCATGCAGCGCACCCTGGTTGGACTCCCTTTCAGGCCCTGCTCCAACGCGGCACGGTGCACAGCGGTTCGGTTCCAAGGGCCCCAACTGCTACGCCCCATACGCTCCCGGGCCGAGGATCGGCCACGCCTCGGCAGACGCCGACGCGGCACGGGGCACACATGTCTACGCAGACGAGCGCGTCCCACCACTCGCAGAGCACCTGCTCGCAAATGGCTTGGAGCCGCCGCGGGGGATCCACGATCTGGTACGTCGAGGCGAACACGTGCTTCTCGGACGTCTGCGAGCAGGCGCTCTGCGAGGAGTGGAGCGCGCTCGGGGAATGTCGCCCGCGGAGAGAGAACTGGCAAAGGCGCGCGCGGCGCGCGAGGATCCTCGCGATCGAAGCGCCGCCTCCCCTGGAGAAAGGGGCCCACAAACACACAAATAAATACACACAAATAAAAATATCCCCTATATTTTCCCATATTTTCTGGCTTTTTGTCTTCCCCACCACTTCCCATATGTTCGCATATTTTCCTGGGGATCGACGATTAATTGTGTCTGTGTGTTTTTTCCCCTCCTGACTGGAGAAGGGCCAGAACAGCGGGCGGTGGCCGCTGGGCGCGACGCGACGCGCGGACGTCCTCGCGCCGCAAAAGCTCGAGAAGCAGACGCGGGCGCGAAAAGTACCCGCGGGGGCCAGGCCGGCACGAGCAGATCCGCCGTGCCACGAGGCGCTGTGTGGGGTTTGCCTCAGGTCCCTTCGAGTCCTCTGCGTCGAGTGTGTCTCAATATGTCAAAAAACTGCTCTTGAAGGAGCCCAGACCCCAAACACAGACCTCTCGGGGCTTCCCGCGTGACTTTGGAGCGCCCCACGTGACTTCTCCCAAGGAGTTTTGGGGCGTGATGTGGGGTCCATCTTTCTTGCGTGCCCTGAGATAGGACGACCCCAGGAGGTTGTCCTGGGGCTCTCCTGGGCCGTCTGCGAGGCCTCAGAGCGGGGCCCGTACGGCAAAAATATTGAATACCATATGTTTTGCACGACGTTCCCCAATTAGGCGTTCCGAAAGGACTTCTCTTTCTTGGTTTCTATTGTTATGTACCTTTGGTTTTCGAGCCACCTGTGTGTGCGGCCTGTCCCGGTCACCATTGCTCGAATTCTCCCCGCAGTGTTTTTGCAAGGCCGGCCTTCCTCGGGCTCCCCGGGTTGCCAAGCAACGCCAAGCAATGCCAAGCGACGCCAAGCAACGCCAAGCGACGCCAAGCAAAATGAGTCATTTGCCAAGCTTATCCATATTATTGCAACATACAAGGCATTCTGTGTACTCCCGCCTCAGGCTCGCCTGGTAACGGCTATGCCGCGCGCCGAGAAGCAGTTGACTGCGCAACTTCCTTTGTTCTCCTTTCTGGTCTAGGACTGAATATGCCCACTCTTTCGGACACCCCTGGTCCAGTCCGTCTCAGCGTTTCGGCGTGTGGTTGGCTATCCTCTTGAGGACCTGCCACAACAAACCACACGGGGCAGGCCGACGCTGTCACGAACGACACCTCTGTTTCGGACTGTGCGAAAACACCACGCGTACCTCTTGAATGCAAAATACAGTGTGTCTGGTTGTATTCTGGGACTCCTTCGTGCACACCAAATTTGCCAGAAGATGTCAAGCCAGGCTCTGAGAACCTGCTGTTTTGGCCTTCAAAAAAGGGAGGAAACAACTAAATGCCAAGCAATGTCGGTCAATGCCAAGCACTGCCAGGTAATGCTAATAAGAGCAAAGAAATGCTAAGCAATGCCAGCGACGCCAAGCAGTGCAAAGCAATGCCAAGCAACGCCAAGCAATGTCAATGAATACCAGGCACTGCCAAGCAATGCCAAGCAACGCCATGCAATATAAAGCAATGCGAAGCAATGCCAAGCAACGCTAAGCCATGCCAAGCAATGCGAGGCAATGCCAAGCAATGCGAAGCAATCCCAAGCAATGCAGAGCAATGGCAATAGCAGGCAGCGCCTAGCAATGCCAAGCAACGCCACGCACGGCACTGCTTAATTACGTACTCAGTACACTTCCCCCTAAATGGGTTCACGCCGAGTTTATGTGTATACTCACCTGCTCGGCCCAACGGCATCCAAGACGGCCCCAGAGATCCCCAAGAGAGCCAAAAGGGTCCCCCCGGGCCCTCAGGGCACCCAGAAGGCTCCTAAGAAGAGCCCGAGAGGGGGAAGCCAACTGGGCTTTTCTTCCAAGGCCCTCCATGCCGAAATGGCCCACGGGCTCCCAAGAGGCCCCCAAGAGGGCCACAAAGGCCTCCGAGAGGTCCACGGCAGGCCCCGCTGGAGGACTCCAAGAAGCCCCAAGAGGGCTTCCAAGCAGACCCCACGACGCTTTTCAGAAGCCGCTTGTATACGACCCTGGAACGGTTGCGGGATAGGCCGAGGGCCACTACATATCGTATGCTATATCACCTCACGCTGCCGAGAACAATGGTAAGCAATGAGCAATGTAAAGCCAGGCTTAATTACCAGCATGGATCCCACAGAATGAGTTTGCGCACTGTGGATGTGCAGGACATGTGGTGCAAGCTGTGCGGTATAATCAATGTGGTGCAATGTGGTGCAAGCTATGCGGTGGAATCCGCGTGGAGGAAGCAGTGTGATATCAGCTATGAAGTGCAAGCTAGGAGGTGCAAGCTGCGGTGGGTGTAAGCATGCGTAAGCTACGCAAGCTGTGCAAGCTATGCTCTGCAAACCATGCAGCGTAAGCTATGCGGTGTAAGCTATGTGGTGTAAACCCTGCGAACTGCTTGAGAAATCATGGGTTAAGAAATTCATAGCCTCAGAACTTGAATAAAAAACCCAAATTCCTATTAAAAGTTTAGGATTGACGTTGACACAATAAGAATAATCGAGACTCTGGCCGAAACCTTACGTTTTCTTAAGCATCGCCTAGGGTGTAAACCATGTGGTGCAAATTCTCTGGCTACGTGGTGCAAGCTATGCAATGCATAGCTACATGGCGCAGCCAGCGCTCGAGGCGCCAATAGCGGCGCCCACGGGCGCGCCCACCGACCGAGCGCCCAGAACTCCCAGCCAGCACGAGGCGCCCACGAAGCCCGCCAGACGAACACCCAGAACGCCCAACCAAGACGAGGCGCCCCCCTCCTCCTCCTCCTCCTCCTCCTCCTCCTCCTCCTCCTCCTCCTCCCCCTCCTCCTCCTCCTCCTCCTCCTCCTCCTCCTCCTCCTCCTCCTCCTCCTCCAATCGGAAACCCAGATAACCCAAGCAAGTCCATACGATCCACGTAAGGTGCTCTCACTGGAAGCACTGCTTGGGAAACGGATGAAACAGGATCACTGGCCACACGCTGTCTTCGTCGATACGATGCAGTACACAAGATAATTGCAATTTCACGCGAACGCTGGAAATTCTCGCACCCCGCAAACGGCTGTGGGTGGAGGTATGGTTTCAGGGGAAGTCGTTCTCTCCCAAGGCCAAAGCAGCAAAGAGCATACCTCCGTACATCTGGCCACGATGGGTCGGCCGATCTCGAGAAACTTTAGCGAGCTTGTGAAACAATGCGAGTAACTATGCCGTTTTGGGCAGTCGTCCGAGAGGTGGCTTTCCCGTACGCGCCATAGTGACTCCCGCCGACAACCTGAAGGCGAGATCCCCCCGAAACAAGCGTCAGGATGATGAGGGAGCGGGAGGAGGAGGAAGGGGAGGAGGAGCGGAAAACTGAAGAGGAAGAACGAGGACAACAACTGGAAGACTGGAGGAAAAAGGCCGAAGAGAAGCAGGGGGGAGATGGAATGGAGGGAGGGAAGAGTCCTCCCTCCATCCACCCTTCCCTTCCTTTCCCCTCCTCCTTCTCCTCCTCCTGCTCCTTCCCCCCTCAACCACCTCCTTCTCAACCACCTCCTCCACCTCAACCACCTCATCTTCCTCCTCCTCCTCCTCATCATCCTCATCCTCCACCTCCTCCTCAACCACCTCCTCCTCCTCCTCC